TGTGTAGTAACATGTACTTCAGGTGTGTAGTAACATGTACTTCAGGTTTGTAGTAACATGTACTTCAGGTGTGTTCGGTCAACAAAAATGATTAAAACTCAAACTGGAGCAGTGGATCAGGCAACAACCGTACAGAGTTTGTCAAAATGTCCTTTTCAAAACAAAACTCTTTCAAGAATAGTGACAATTATTGCTGCGTTGAGACATTAATTAGAAACTCGACACTTTTGTTAAAATAAATATCAGGAGTGAAGAATTTAAAAAGGTGCTACCAATAGAAATGATTACAAGCAACAATAAAGAAAACAAAACTGAAAAGATAAGACGTCCACAACAACTTAAATAAGACTGATGGCACAGTTTCACACATTTAAACAAAAAAAAAAAACTGCTTTTCCGTAAAAAGCAACAATTTTCTGCAACATAAATAAGGAAAGCATTCTATAAGCATCACCTTTACATGCCTGGAAGAATCATAAAATGAGCAGTGCTTTAAATAAAACAGTGTGTTTTTATTGACACAACATGCCTCAGTTTGCAACAAAACTAACAATAATTATGCACAAGCAGCGAGTGGTTTCACTTATGAGGAAGAACTCGCCACAGCATGCGTTTGGAGATCAGTGCTCGTTGTCCAGAGACTCCTGCGTGAGGAGCTACAGTGACCGCTGCATGTTCCTGAGCTGAGGAAGAAACGGCTGCAAACGCTCGAGGGATGCGGCGCTGAGATGTCTTAAAGTCCTACTCAAGTTTCTGCCGCAGTTTTTTCTGGAAGCAGACCGGCAAGATGGAGAGCACGGCGAGCACGCCGAGCACAGCCAGGGAGTTCCAGGACACGGCCTCGCCAGCTGTGGTCAACTTGTACAGAGTCGTGCCGGCGTTGATGGCTACAAAGGATGGGGGCGCCACTCCTGTCAACCAGCCAGGGTGGACACAGGTGAGCCAGAAACAATAATAATACTGTTCTAAAAGAAAAGGGACAGCGTCTTACCGAGAAAGGTGCCAACAAAGAAAACCCCCAAAGGCACATTGATGACGGGGGAAGTGATGTTGATGAACCAGTTGGGAAGAAAGGGGGTTATTCTCAGGAAGATGATGTAATTGATTAAATGGTCCCTGTGTTTGTCAACCTGCCAGCAAACATTCAAAAAACAGAAGTGACGCTCGTGCAAAATGCGTTGCAACCATTAACATTTATTAGAACCAGAGTCGGGGCCGGAAGTTGGAAAAGACGAGCCCCTTCCTGCAGGCAGTCCTGCCCCTCCATAAAACTAACAGGGGGACTTCCTGACCTCCGTCATACAGGTGTTCACATCGTTTACCTCAGTGCAGTTTGTTCAGAAATTTTTTATTTTTTTTAATGTGCATCGGTTCAATTAGTTATTTGACGGTTTTAAAAAAGTGTCACGTTGCACTGTGACGTCCTGCTAGCGAGTTGGGAGGGTGTGTCTTAAAAAACTATTTAGTTTGAGTTTAATTGAACGTAGTATAATAAAATAATAAAAGTCACATAAAAAGAATAAATTTAAAACAAAAGCAAGCAAAGAAAAAACAAAACAACAGCAGTAAAGTATGTACATGTACAAAGGAGTGGGTAGAAGTACCCACCCCTCTTACATCTATAGTGTCATCCAATAATTTAATATTCGTGGTAACTTGGTTAGAACGTTCTGTTTTAGTTAGTATTTTATGTCCATATCTATACAATGCATTCTTATTTGCATGCCATTATGATCAAGCATCAATATATTTTAACATGTTAAAATTCTTTCTAGATCAATAGACCAGAATGCAGTAATAACTGATAAACTCATTAATTGTTAACAACATTGATCATAGCAGTAATAACGGTCATTATTTCCCATACTGATATGCAGTGATGACCATCTTCTTAAATGACGTTTTAAACCGTTTTATGTTTGGACATTGCTCGATTTCCATGATTAAACCGTTCCACAGCTTCACCCCACGTACTTTTAATTTAATTAGTTTTAATTTTGGACAACTCAAATGAATGGTGTCTGTTCGTCCATCTTTCTTTATGTTGATTGTTACAACAACAGCTGTGCAAAGAACTCCTATCGGAGATTTAAATTAATCAGTTTTTTATTCATGCAGCATGAGAGGTCTGTAACAAAATTAATTAAAAACTGTAAAAAGCCAACTACTGATTAAAGGCTGTAGTAGGCGTGTGGTTACATAACGGCGTCAAAATGTTTTATCAAAGTAATGAATAAGTGATAAATATAATAATATTTTTTTATACCGCTATAGTACAATTTAAGACGGCATCATACTTTTATTATTTCATTTTATGCTTATGTTTATTAAATGTTTTAATGTTAAATGGTTATTGTTGCACCGGGGTCTGAGAGTAATGTAATTTTTGTGCATGTCCTGTACATATTGCAGTTTTTGACAATAAAGTGACTTTGACATTTTGGTCAAAAGGTGCTCCTCCCAATACAATTTGTTGTTGTTGTTTAATAAACTCATTTTCTGCATTAACGGCCTAAAGCAGGCCATTAAAAGCTCTTTTACCTGCTGGGACCATTTCTGCGCTCTTTCTGTCAGGTACTTGTAGACCACAGGTCTGCCCACCAGATACGACAACATGTAGCAGAAGGAAGCGCCGAGGCCAGAGCACTGCCGACAGACACAACGATAAAACACTGAAACGTCAAAAAACCGACAACAGGAACAATTGTTTTATTCATTGCTCAAATTAATAACAAATAAAAGTCTCACTAAAGAGGAAAAAGCAGCACAGAATTACATCGGACGCAGGTGGATGGTGCAGCGCGAGGCTGAAACCACGGCAAACTGCTTCAAATCGAGCGTTTCGAGCTCTTTACACTTTAACCACAGCCCCTCTTTGCTTTTGTTGCAACATTTATTCACTTGTGCTAATTCCTGCTCATGCACATTGTTTAATAAAAAGAGGTAAAGATTTTGCCAAAACGCGTGGCAACAAAAATAAGATTTACACACGAAGGTAAAACACCGACATTGTGAATAATTGTGAGAACTGGATGTAAAATACTGTACAGCTAAAAGGTAAAGGAAGAACATTTTTTGCTTTCAGTTTAAAATAACAGATATGTTTGCACATTTTACATTAATGTTGAACTGTTTGTAAAACCACAGCCTAAACTGATTTACTCCTCTTCCTTTTTGCAGCCAAGAAGTGCATGTTTTATTTAGATTTCACCCAAATAAAAAATCAAAATCCACATTCAAGATGTGAAGTTGACTTTAAAGACGCATGAAGCTGTGCAGCAGCTAAACTGTTGGTACTTACCAAGCAAACTAGAAAAAGAGCCAAAGGGAAAGGGTAAAGATAACCAGACAGGATGCTGAGGAAGATCGATCCAGGAATAGCAAACGTCTGGAGACTGGAGACGTGTTAAGGTGAGCAACTTCAAACTAAACTGGTTTCACAAAATAAGACAGCACATTAATAATCAATTAAAAAAAAAGACATTTCTAAAAAGGCAAGTTGGTGTTTCTGCCATTCCAATAAATAATTGATTTAATAATGTTTTATTTTCAATTAAAAAAAAATGTGTGTATTCACGACGAAACGACATCCAGTAAAACAAATCTTTGAGTCTTCTCACGAGTTCACGCTCGGCAACAAACTGAGGAAGTGAGCAGCCGAATGAACTACACAATAAAAGCTTGTCGTTTCCCATAGTTTGAACCAAAACATCGACCGTCGAGCAGCTAATGCTTGCACTATAGATGTAGTGGAAGAGGACATAACTGGTAAGTTAGTTTATGCTGTAAACTGAGAATTCATACATTAACAGTATGGAAGGGCTCGGATTGCTTTTATTTTGAAAGAACGAGGTGGTTTTATTAGATTAGAAACTGGTCAGGTTGAAAAAATATATAATTAATGTGGGTATTTGTCACATTTAAAGATCAGGAAGTTACAGCCAAGTCTCTTTTGGTCTAAAAAAAATGTGCCTGGGTTCAGAGAAGGCAACACTTTAAGGACAGTTTACAACAAATGAATAAGACAAAATGAAGATAAACATCTCAGATATTCCCTGACAAAATGTAAAGCTGAGATTTAGCATTTATAAAGCACCCCCCCAACACACACACACACACACACACACACACACTCCAAGGATACAAAATATAAGTTGCAAAGTAGGCCACTAACACCTGGGTATAGTAGGTGTCTTTGTATTTGGACAACACCGTCCCCAAAGCTTTGGCATCATCCATGTCTTTAGGGATCTTCATTTTTTCCATTTCATCTCTGGGAAAACAAAAAAGTAGAGAAAAAACAAAAACTTTACAAAAACATGTTTGATGTTTGCATCTACTCATCTGACAAAACCTACAAATGACACAGATTCAGTTCTACTCAAACCCAAAGACGAGTCTGACGAAAGAAAATGAACTCTCAGCAGGTTTGATAAACGGAGGCCGCATCGTGAACAAACGGTTTGAATTCACATCAGTTATTAGGAAATAGATCTTTATTCTCACTTGTGCTGAGAACCCAACTCCAGCTTTGGGAAACAAAAAGGTAGAAATGAACAACCTGAATTTAATTCAATGTTATGGTAAGCTGGGCGGCACGGTGGGGCAGTTGGTAGAGCTGCTGCCTCTCAGCGAGCAGGTTGCCCCGGTTCAAATCCTGCACAGGGGCCTTTCTGGGTGGAGTTTGCATGTTCTCTCCGTGTTCTCCAGCTACTCCAGTTTCCTCCCACAGACTAAAAACATGCATGTTAGACTGACTGGTAACTAAATTTTCTCTAGTTGGCAGTGTGAATGGTTGTTTGTCTCGTTTGTCTCCATGTGTCCCTGTGAGCGACTGGAGGTGGGTGGATGGATGGATGGATGGATGGATGGATGGATGGATGGATGGATGGATGGATGGATGGAC